CTCACTCGACTATTAAGCCTAAGGGCTACTCTTATTTCAAGTTTGAGCAATCACTCGACCATAAAGCTTACGGGCTACTCTTATTTCAAGTTTGAGCAATCACTCGACCATAAAGCTTACGGGCTACTCTTATTTCGAGTTCGAGCAATCACTCGCTCGACTATAAAACCTACGACCTACGAGCTACATTACTTCGAGTGAGTTACTCATTATTTCGAGTTAGAACAAACACTCGACTATTTAAGGCTGAAGGCTATTCGAGCCCAACAAAGCAAAGGGAACTACCCACAAAGCCCGAAGGCAACAGTGATTAAAATTTAAACTATTTATTTAGCTTAAAAGACTATTTTTCTTCAAAGGAAGAAAGTTTTATATTTACAAATCTTGTACAAAGGCAACTCGGCCAAAAGAAAGTTCTTTATACAAAGACCGAAACCGGCCTCAAAAGAATACAACAAACTACCTAAGGTCCTAAATGGCTCGATCTTCATCGGAGGTCGTGCTCTCGGCATCTTCCTAAGCTTCAGACTCACTCGAGCTATCGGAGTCTTCCTCAGGAAAGGCCAACCTTCGAGCCTTGTTCTCCTCCGCCCTGGCAACTTCAATCTTGGCCCCAACATCGAATCCCTGAGCACTGACCTCCTCGAGAGCTTCTCTCCGAGCTTGCCATTTTGCATGTTCGACCATGCTCTTGGCTTTGGCTTGGTTAACCTCAACATCGATCCTGAACTGAGCCACTTTAGCATCGACTATTTTATTGACCTCGATCACCTCAGATCTGGCTACTTCAAGTTCATTAGCCAAGCCTGATTTATCAGAAATGGCCAAATCCAACCGACGCTGAAGCTCTTTCATCTTCTCGATCATCCCCGAGGCATTCTCTTTTGCAGATCGAAGTTGGGCATCAAACAACTCTAATTGAGCTTGAACGGCTTCCTTTTTCGAGGCAGGGTATCCACACTCTTTTTAAATTCTTCTTTCTCGGCCAGTAGCCCATCTACCTGTGAGTTAAGCCGTCCTATATTCTCGATCCTCTGCCGAACCTGTAGAATCAGATCGCTAGTGGTTATCTCCTTTTCATCTTCACTATCATGAAAAATTCGGAATACGTGCTCAGCCATCTCCTCGTGCTCTTCCCGAGCTGCTGTCAAATCTGCTCGAAGTTTTTCACTAAGGAGCTTGTAAGAGTCACTCTTCTCAGTGAGGCTCCAAACCTCAGCATCATGCTCCTCTCGGATTTGAAGAAAGGCCTCATGATGCAACACCAAAGCCTACAAACAAAAGAAAAAATGTAAGAATTATCTACAATTCTAAGTATAAGAGAAACAACAAAGATGCCATCAGAGTTACCCGATTCAAAGCGTGTTGGGCCTCGTTGAAGAGACAGGTGGGCCCTACCGCATTCATCACTGATTGATCCTCTTTGGTCACCAAGAACAGAAGGTAATTGGCAATCCCCACAGNATCGGCATTCCACTAAAACCGGTAACCTCCTCCGAGGAAGCCGACTCGAGCCCCTCCAGAAAACCGTGGATATCGGTCGACTCGTGAATGCCCTCGTAGGACCAAACCTCCAACATGCTGGCATCCGAAATCTGAGGGGATCCACTAATATCAAATATCCCGAACTCATCCCTCAAAATATCTTCTACTGCCCAAGAAGCCCTACCCTCGGTCTCCCCTTCAGTCATCTTAGCTCGAGAAGGGATAATCTCGGCTTCTTCTTATTCTGGGATTATGGCCAAGATTCTTTGATTTGCTTCAGCCAAATCGGAAGACTGTTGAATCACAACATTAGCCCGTGCACAGGCTAAATCCTCCTCTCCTGCTTCGGGCTCGTCCCTTAATTGGCGGACCACTTCCGAAGGCACGACACCGGAGCCCCCCTTTGGCTTGCGAGATCTCTTAGCCAGTTTTTTCTTTTCCAAGCTCGGGGAGCTCGGTACATCTTTTCTCTTCCTTTCTTTAACCTGCTTCGGGGAAGGAATCTCTTCATCACTATATGGGGGCCTCATGACTATATCCTTCCCGAGTCATACAAAGGGAAAAAAAGGAATAAGTAAATAAAGAAGAACAAAAAATAGACAAATCGAGAAAGAGACTTACCATGACTACGGGCCTCCCATCGACCCTTTGACAATTCGACCCAAGCACGCTCGGAGTACGGTCTCTGCAGCACCAGACCTTCAACCCATTGTTTAAGATCTGGAATCAGTTTCGGTATCCGAGCTACGGCTGTGACAAGAAAAGAAAAATGGATCAACAAAATGAAAGGCAGTTACAAAATCAAAACGGGCAAAGAGAAACGTTTACTCACGACTCAAATTCCATTTCTCCGGAAATGGCAAGTCATCGGCAGGGATCAGGTCCGAGGTTTTGATTCGAACAAAACAGACCATCCAACCCCGATCCCGAGTCTCATCTATGCTCGAGAATGACGCTTTGGTTGCTCGACGAGCAAGCTTGATTAACCCTCCTCGGTAAAGTCGGGGACTATAAAGGTGCATAAGATTATCGAGGGTGAAGATACGCCCCTCGATCTTGCTCGAGAAAAATCAAAGAAGAATCACTATCCTCCAAAAGGAAGGATGGATCTGGCCGAGGGTCACGTCGTACCTCTTGCATAAGGCAACGATGACGGGGTCTAGAGGGCCCAACGTGAAAGAATAAGTGTAAATACTTAAGAACCCTTCGACGTGGGTAGTAATTGATTCATCAGGCGATGAGATTACTACGAGTTTATTATCCCAGTTGGATTCTTGTATGACTTTCTCAAGAACTTTCTCGGTAATTGAACATTGATACCTCGACATCGGCTCACACTGACCCGGTACCGGAGAAGGTTTTTCAATTTTAAAATCACCTATAATTAAACACCCTACCGGAATGAATTCCCCAGGGCGGGGCTCCTCCATATCCTCGCCACCGGCGGGTCGAGATATAGAAGCGACCTCTTTTTGCGGAATAATTTTAGACGTTTTTGCCATCTAAAATTCTATGAACGAAGATCGGGAGTATTTGGTGTTTTGAGAAGGGATTTGCAGTGAAAATCACATATTTACAGACGAAAAACCCAGAAGATGCGAAAAGGAACTTAGAAGATTTGGAGATCTGAAAGTGAAAAATAGTGAAAAGAGGGGCTATTTATAGATTGGGCAATGGCGGTTCAATATCAGTAGTGGCTGACCATCGCCTGACACACATTTAATGCCTTGATAAACTGAACCGACGGGACAGCTATCACATACGTCATGGTCGGGCTCGATGCAAACGTCAGTGTATATCTAATCGTGCCATTGGAAAATCATGTCGTTTCTCGCCGCATCCTTCCCCAGAAACGAGGGGACTATTTGTATACGGTCAAAATCGATTTCGACCTTCGTACGATTGGTCAAGATGGGAACTTAATGGACCGAAGAGCGTCTTCATAATATCGAGATGAGGTATAAAGCCAGATTACCGAGTTTTGAGTTTTAGGGACCGATCAAATACCGATCTCGAAGTCATTACCAAGCTCGAAGTCCAAATCGAACTCTAATACGAAGCGGTGTTATCGAGCTTAAGAGCCAGAGACCGATCAATACCGAGCCCGAATCAATACTGGGCCCCGAATCAATATCTAGCTCGAGTCAATATCGAGCTCTGAATTTGGAGATCGATCAATATCAAGTCCAATCAAGATCGAGCTCATAGGCAAGAGCCGTTACAGCCGCACTAAGGGAGAGAATCTCGGCAAAAATTAGGAAAAAACTGATTTATCATGGGTTCCCCACTATGTATTTTTAATTATATCTAAAGTAAGATCCCTCCACTATAAGAGGGATGACTATATTTCTGTAAAAAAAACCCATTAAGGCAGTGATATAGAATATAACTCAGATACTGTTGATACACTCCTATTCCGAGAGATTATCCCTTTGAGCTTTATACATTGATTCATCTTGCTTATTCATAAATCATTCCCCTTTTAACTTTGTTTGTATTTTATTATTTACTGTCAATATTCAACCGCGGGTCTATCACCCCAATTGGTTTAGTTAGGAAATTATATATATATATATATTAAATATTTTCTGCTACCTAATCACGGTCCGAAAAATAAGTAAGAAAATCACTTATTTTTCAAGATAATATTTTTCAAGGAAACATTTTACTTCGTACCAAATACACCCTGAATTATTACTCTTTAGGAATTTTTTTTTATCGGATTTATTTTCTTTTTATTTGTTTCTAGCGTTTCAGTTGGAGAGTTCGATGAACGCAAGGGACTTGATGACCTTCCGAAGCCACTTTGGATCATCAATCATTTTCAAGAATGACAACAATAATTTAAGCCAAAAAAAGAAAAGAAAAAACAATAATAATAATATAATAAACTATATTTCATCATAACGGAATAGTTGAAAAGTCAAGACCAACTTACGTGAGTTCGTACGTAGCTCTGTAGTATTCCTCAACGCGACCGTATTTTTCTTATAAAAAAATCTTTTTTAACAACTTACCAACATCCAATCAAAAACTCGTGGAAGTAAAAAAAGAGACTTAAAGAAGGAAACTTTTATTATTTACTGGTAGGTAGTCGGAGATTGATGAGCTCGTCACGCTAGAAGATAGAGACGAACTCAGAACGTAAACTGTGTGGGTTCGGATCAGAGTCGAAGCCACATTGTTCTAATTGTGACCATTCTTTTGTTGAAAAATACATTATGTATATATATAAAATATTACTTCAGATTTTAAAGTATATAATATATTGAACACTTTTATTCGGATGTCACGGATCATTTAGGTTACTAGATTCAAAATTTTAGCAAAAGCTACTAAGTCGTTGTGGTTTTATTAGACATCCGTCCTGAATGATGATCTCTTTTTCTTTAATTTAATATATTTTGGTTAGTAAGTTGCATGCATGCAATAAAATGGACCCACATTTTGCAAATAGTAGTATAATTACTTAAGGAAGATAGAAGAAAGGAAAAAAGAAGTGGAAAAGCAAAAAACAAGAAGGAGAAAAGAAAGGAGGAAGAAGAGTACTAGAGAGTCGGTCTAGAGATTGTTAAAATATGAGAGAGAGAGAGAGACCAATTTTTTAGGTTCCTTTTGATTTGCAGCATTTAAAGTTATTTAAAATTTCCGATTCTTGATCAGTTTCCTTTTACTTCTTTATTCCTTTTTTTACTCTGTTAATTCTCAAGTGTACTTTATTTCCATATTATAGTGATCTGATCTTTGTGATCTCATACAATCTCAGATACTATTTCCTCCTCTCTTGCTCTACATGTATTTGGTTTATTTAATTGTCCACATTCAAAGTTACAATCTTTACTAAATTATGGGGGTTTTCATTTTCTTTCCAATACACATCAGATTTTCTGTATCTTAAGAATATCATGTTCCTGTACTTGATGGATCCTGTGTTTATATATAGCTTTCCTTTCTGTATTGCTTAAGAAAGATACAATTTTCTTGACGTTAGCAATAATGACTATAGAAGATCATACACAAAGCTGTAGCAATAGCAATAGCAGCAGTGCCACTAAAAAGTTGAAGCAAAAAAAAGTTCCACAAAGAGGACTAGGTGTTGCTCAACTTGAGAGAATTAGATTGGAAGAACAACATATAAAAGATGAAACTTTGCATTCACCTAATGTTTTGTCACCAAATTCAATTGTCTCATCACAAGATTCCACTCTTAGGCCTACCCTTAACTCCTCTTCAATCTCTTCACAAACACGATTAGCCTCGAAAAATTGTGAGTTTAGACCAAATCCATCTAAAACAACTGGTATGATAGGTGAAGGTGAAATGAATTTGTCAGCAATTTTGGGTCCAGGCTATGATGATTGCTCTAAATTGTGGAGTAGTGAGTACAATACTGAAGAAGAGAATAAGAAGTTGTATCAATATGGTGGTGTTAAGCCTGATCTAAATTTGTCACATGAACCCCAGATCCCAATTTTTTCTTTACCCAATAAGCTGCTTAGATCACAACAATATCAGCAGCCTCCTTGTTCCTCATCAATGGTAAGCCAGCTTTCAGCTTACTTATTACTTGCAGTACTTAGAGGCGGATCCAGAATTTTAAGTTGACCGTTCGACCTTTAGGCTCTTACCACTTAATCCGTTATATTTTTGGAATTATGCATTCACAATTTTATAGTTGTTGAAATTATAGTGATTTTTTCACAAATGTATTTATGCTAAAATGCTAGGTTAGTTGAACTATAATTCTATACTACATCCGCCTCTAGCAGTAGTAATCATTATTGGGCTAACATGTCTTTCTTTGTATTTAGTATGCTGAGGCTAATTAGTTTTATTGTGTATGGTGCAGGTGAATATCTCATCATCTGTAGGAAATCTTCATATGGAGCCCCCTTCAAACCAAAGTTATAATGGCTGTCACTATTTACCTCTTTGGCCAGAAGAAGTGAAGGTAAATTTAGTAGTCTTTCCTACCTGCATGATAGAAATAACAAAGAGCTAATAAATAAAGGATTAAAGGTTGCCAGGATATTCGACTGTAAAAAAAAAAAAAGGGGCTGCCTAGTGCACTAAGCAAAGGCCGGATCACAGGGGTGTACTGTATACAATCTTACCATGCATTTCTGCAATAGGTTGTTTCTACGGCTCGAGCCATTGATCTCCTGGTTACATGACAACAACTTTACCAGTTACGCCAAGGCTCCCTTTCAGGATATTCCACTGTCTATTCTTGAAATTTCTTTTTTCTAATCTGTTTGTGCAGAAGAGATTGGTTTTGAGATTGTGGGTTGATAAACTATTATTTTGTTTGTTAATGTAGATGGTTGGCATAAAAAGACCATATCCATTCCCTCCAGAATACCCACCCGTCCCTGCATTTCAAAAATTTCCTCTGTGCTATATTGCCCCTGTATCTGGATCACACGAATCAGCTTCCTTTAGCAGTGAATGCGCAGTAAATTCAGAATCAGGAACTCATCATAAAAGGTTTGATATCTCCCCTGAATATGGCATACATTTAGTTTTGAGTACATCTTGAGAAGTCTTTTTGGTCAATGTTTCAGAGAAGTTCCTTTAAAATCAAGAACTCTATCCGAGGTGAAACCAAGGAATGTTGTCAGAGGAAATAGAGTTCTCAATGGAGATTTTCTCACATTGGCTCCTCCTACAGCAGTTGGTAAAGGAAATCAGCAAGATTTATCTAACTCTGCTTCTCAGAACAGCGAGCTATTTAAATTCGAAACTGTACCCTTTCAAGTAAGTGACAAACGGACTTCAGCATCTTATTTTATGATTCATGTATTTTATATGAATCCTTATTTAGTTTATGAACTCCACAGGAAGTTGCTGAAGAGCCTAGCACTAAGCCAGGCCTAAACAGATTAGTTCAACAACCTTTATTCAGATTTTTCCCATCTGCGAATGTGCAAATTGGCCAAGTAGGAATAACCAAAAGCAACTGTCAAGGTGATGTAGGAGGAAAAGTTGATCTTAATCTGAAGCTATAGAAGTTAAGTCCATGTCACCGGTGGCTTTGTTAAGTCTTTTGAGGTGTTTATTCAGGGCTTTTATTCTTTTACATGGGTAGAAATATTTCCTTCTAATGAATGTCTTACCATTCATGGGCTGCATATGTTAGTTGAAAAATGAAAAAAGATGCCCTTTGCATGGTGTTCCCCAAGGAAAAAATATAGACTCTAGTTCTATTACAGAAAGATGGTAAACAAAAGCTCTTCATTTCATGTCTTGTGGGTCGTTGTGGTGCCTCTTGGAGTGGAGAATAAAGGTGAAACAAAAGTGAGTTTTTGATTGTAACGATCCAAAATAAGAGAAGAAGAATATTTGGGAAGCTTCAAGGATCAGTTTCAAGACATTAATTACTTTTTAGATTTACATTGTTGACGAAGAGCCAGAGGCAGCTATTTTCCAGAATTTTGTCTTTGACAAGAATTGTGAAGGAATACCTCTTTGTATTCTGCAGAAAGTCTATATACCATCTATATTAGTTTCTAACTAAAATGCGATTTGCCATTCCAACTCTGTTTGACAATTGGACGCTATGGTGCCCAAAAAAGGATTTAGGATTCTAGAAGAAAACAAAAACAACTTCACCTTAATTTCTTCTTAAATTCATTTTCTGTGATGTATTAAGAGCAGTGACGAAGTCAGAAAATTCAATAAATATTTGATCAATAACAAGCAATATTTTACCTTATACGTAGTATAATTTTTTGACGAATGGTGGTCAGTTGACCACCCTGCCAACATAGCTTCGCCCCTAATTAAGAGCCATGCATTACAAGTGTGTGTGTGTGTGTGTGTGAGAGAGAGAGAGAGAGAGAGAGAGAGAGAGAGAGAGAGAGA